AGTGCATTGACTACACTAATTCCTTAAAGTGTCCTCGCTTTTCTTTCTCCATGGGCTTTGCTGTCGCTTATGCTTATCACCTCTAACTGATAACTTGCACACTGCAAATGTTGAATAGGCATTCTTAGCTTCTTTTACAAGTGGGCTTTTGACCATATTTTGTAATCACATGTGTAGTTTCATCTGTATTTACACTTGTAAAGTCGCTTGGAATTCTACTAGGAATTCCACTTGGAATTCCACATGGGATTTTTGATTGGAAACTTCAAGAGTCATCCCAAGTGGCATTCCAAAAGGAATTACAAATGACTACTGAAGATACATTTTTTCCTTTTTTAAAATAGTTAAAATTCAAATTTCAAGCAGTATAATAGCCACGTAGAGTGTTATCATCCATGTAGTAACACTAAATCAGAGGGGTTCAAGTATTTGTTCCCAGATTTCGAAAAAATAGATTTTTTCATTTTTCGACCAATTTTCTTGAAATCACTTGAACCCCTCTGCTTTGGTGTTACTATATGAATGATAACATCAGATAAGGCCATTAAACCGCTTGAAATTTCAATTTCAACTATTATAAAAAAGGAAAAAATGTACCTTTAGTGGTCATTTGTAATTCCACTTGGAATGCCACTTGGAGTTTCCAATCCAAAATCCCATGTGGAATTCCAAGTAGAATTCCAAGTGACTTTACAAGTGTAAATACAGATGGAATTACATATGTGATTACAAAATATCAATCAGAAGGGCAGCCCTGTTGACCTTTGAGTATTAGCTGTGAGCAATAATAACAGCGTTGGGTTAGGCGGATTCAATATCAGAACTTTTTCCCTAGATCGTATATATAGCTATGCGATCTAGGAAGAATGTTCCGTCGAGCAGACAGCACAGCAGTGAAGGGGCATTGCCAAAGACTCGCGAAAATTAAAAATTGTAATATCATAACACAAGTGCCTATCACCCAATGACCCAGGGTGCTAACTGGCCTCTCTATTAAATAATAAAGTATTAA